ACTAAGTATGAGAAGGCCATGCCGCTTCACGAGAGAGGTCTTGTGCGTGATTTGGAGGTCTCCCACCGCAAATCACACACTTCAAAGAAGACAAAAATATTCTAAGTTTGGGAAGGACGTGCCGCTTCACGAGGAGAGCCATGTCCGTCAAGAATCTAGAGGCACGTGTCGCTTCACGAAGAGGGCCATGTGCGTCTGCAATCTAGAAATACATGCCATCTCAATGAGAGGGACCATGGACATGGAGAAAATTCTCAAGTCACGTGATCATGCCACAAGAAGCCTAAGTCTGAGCGCGAGACAAGAGGCCCTTGGCATGATTGAAAAATGCTAAGTATGATAAGGTAATGCTATGTCACAGGAAGGGCCACATACATGATTGAGAAGTCCATGGCCACGAATAAAGAGGTTGTGCCGCTTAATGACCAAGGACTATGTCAACTGCGGCTAGAGAGATTCTGATCAAGTCTGTAGCCCAATCTCAACTGACATATCCAATGGTTGTGTTCGGAATTCCATAAGGGGTTATTGATGAGGCGCACAAGCTAATAAACAACTTCTGGTGGGGACAAAGAGGAACAGAGAAGAAAGCTCACCGGATAAAGAGAGAAGAGCTAGAAATCCCTAAGGCGAATGGTGGTATGGGTTTCAGAAATCTTCGTGGTTTTAACACAGTGTTGCTGGCTAAGCAACTATGGAACTTACACCAACGACAGGATAATTAATAGCTAAAATAATGAAGGCTAAATATCACAAACACTCGACTGTGTTGGACGTTGATATTGGGTACAGACCAAGTTTTCTTTGGAGGAGCCTGATGAGTGCACAAGAATTCCTGTGTAGGGAGACAGCGTTCATATCTGGGGGGGACTGCTGGGTTCCCGCGGCCCCAGAGGGATTCATTGTTTCTCCACTCAGACTACCACCGGATGCGAAGGTCCGAGAGCTTATCGACCCCGACTCAATGCTACTTGCCGCTTGTTTCGATAAAGACATGGAGGAAGCAGTTAGGAGCATACCACTTCGGGATACATTGGAACAAGATACTCAGTTGTGGGCACACAGTAGAAATGGCGAGTTTGTAGTTCGGGAAGCATACCGCATCTGGGTCGAGCAGGAAAATGAACACCAAGGAGAAGTTGTGGCGGATGCAGTTCCGGTTTGGAAGAAGATTTAGCAGATGAACGTCCCTCCAAAAGTCAGACATTTCATGTGGCGTTTGGCAAAGGACTCGCTCCTAGCTGGAGTGAAAGTTAGTGCCCATAATCCCAGGTGGAGCGATCGGTGCCCATTTTGCGACATGATCAAGACCCAGGCACATACGCTGGGGGATTGCGCTTGGGGAAGACGGATTTGGCGCTCTTCTACTACGAGTGTCTGTTTCGAGAAGAAGGTAAGTGATGTTTGTCTGGCTTGGCTTGAGGTAGTGATAGAGGGAGTGGAGCAAAATCTGCTAAAGCATTGGAGTGTCCTTCTATACTATATTTGGAGAGAACACAATGCCCATTTGTTTAACGGCTACAAGCTGGAGGAGCTGGAAATCGCCTCCGCTGCAGCCACTATGTTAGTTGAGTACCAGACGAGCAAGAGAAGGAGCTTAACGTTCAGACTTTGGCCCCTGTAAAGCATTGGATCGCACCCCCAAATGGTAGAGTAAAGATTAATTCGGACGCGGGCATACTACCAGGAGGAGGAGCAGGGCTTGGTGTAGTAGCGAGAGATGCAGCAGGGTGTTTTCCTTTTGCAGCAACAAAGAAAGTAACAGGTATTTATGACCCTGAGGATGCCGAAGCTTTGGCAGTCGAGCTTGGTGTGCAGATGGCAGCTCAACTCAACCTCATGAATCCGATGCTGGAGATGGATTGCTTGAATCTTGTGACAGATATCACTCAGGCCGAGAGCATTAGATCGAAAAAGGGAGTTGTTTATCGGAATATCCAGAGATTGCTTGGTCAATTGGGCGATGTCACGTGGCAATATGCTCTGAGGGAAGGAAACGTTGCAGCGCATATAATGGCACATGTGGAGACTATTTGGAACGAAAGATCAGTGTGGATTGATAAGCCTCCCATCAGTTTATTAGATCAGCTAAAGTTGGACAATGTAACCTCCCCTGCTGATTAATGGAAGTTCTACAGGTTCCTACTCAAAAAAAAAATCTTGTAATTTCAACATAGTAAAATTGAATCGGAGGTTGGATTAAATAATCAATAATATAATGTTTTATGCTTAAACTATAATTCAATTATTCCGTACTCCTATACCGACTTGGACTACAATAGAAGGCTTTCTAATCAAGCTACCAATATGACATGATTTCACAAAGACAACTTGGGGCAACTCACATACAAGCTGACTACATGAAGAGCTCAAAAATTATAATGCCAGTCAAATTAAACAGAACAAAGTAATGAACACAAATTTACAATAGAATAAAGATTTGATCCATCATTCACAAGTTCTTCCTATGAAGAAAGAAGCAACAGCCAATAAAGGCTACAAAAAAGACAGACAACCCAAAAGCAGAAACTTCGCCTTACATACACAAAGCGTAAGAACCAACATATTTGCTGTTGGGAAAAAAAATAATCACCACCAAAAAGATATAATTCCAAACCCCAACAAATAAAAAGGACACCAATCTTGACAATGCATTTTGACTGCCAAACTGCATTAGCAAGGAAAAATATAGGAGAACAAACTTGTTTTCCAACTCATCCACCACCCTGGATGCGTTTTGGTAAAATAATACAATCCACCCTTTCCACTTTGCAGCAAGCAAGCAAGCAAAGCTTTTTGGGTAGAGAAACATCTACTTGGTCTTCTTCAGCAGGCTTGATGTCCTAAACTCAGCATCATCCCTTACAAAACTCCACCAGATGTACCCCAGGGGGATGGCTGCTGCGTGCCAGATGGCTTGAGCATCCACGTACCTCCCAAGTGGCGCGAAGTCGTATACTTCGACGAGCATGGACAGGCTTCCTCCCACGAGAACTACCAGCCACAGCTTCCACCTCGATGGATGGCGAGTGGCTGTAGCCCAGACGAGCCATATCAGAACCTGGACTAGGGTCAGTGACCCGCTTACTTTGGCATTCAGACCTACGATTGGTTGGTACAAGTTTTTCAAATACGTCCAAAGTGATAAAGGATGGACCGATGGAGGGTAGAAGAGAGAAAGAGATTATTTACCTTTGTCAAAGTTGTAGAAGTTCAAGTACAGGATATGTGTGGTAACGAAAGCAATCACTGGGGCAGCAATCATGACTCTGGCAGCTTCATCCCTTATATCGAAAGCTCGGAGTGTTGCCAAAATAAGGCTGAAGCCAACCCATGCCACTGTGGATGAAAAGTACAGTTTCTCTGTCAACTCCACATCCCTGCAACAGTGAAGTGACGCTTAAAATCAGTGGTGAGATCGAGCTTGCAAGTGAATCATTCATCCCAAGTGCATCACATCATAGATGGCAGAGTCGAAATCTTTTTTTATTGCTTTTCATAAAACTGTGGAATCCAATACTATCGAGAAACTGGAAGCCATACTTGAAGCAACTGAAAGCACTACCATAGCAACTTACCGAGTGTGATACACAGCACACCAGAACCAGGCATTCATGCACAAGAGCGCATAGATGTGCCACAAGCCAGTGTACTCATAGTAAGTCTTCTTATTGGGCCTCAGTGACAGCTTGTAGTATACAAGGATGAAAAAGGATATCCACCCATGAAACTGCAGGGCAAGAATGACTGCAGCGAGAGCAACAGAAACGGGTTCCTGAAACAGACAACAACAAAAGCATATTTTTAATCAGGCTGACCATAGTATGCGACAAATACTAGAGACAGGAATATATAGTGTTTAAAAAACGAAAACCTGGATGCCATAAACACGATGAAAGGGCCATCTCCCGTGGTACTTGACAGGTTTAAGACCAAGTTCCAACCTCTCATCCTCCCTGGAAATCATGCAATGGTATTCACAGTCGCTTTGACAGTCCCATTGTTTCCACCGCTGATACAGCGGCTCCTGATGATACCAGGGCCCGTCAATCGGTTTCCCATCAGACGAGAATTTGCAGTGCTGGAAACACTTCTTCCCCACACACCCCGTTGTCTGGCACTCCTCCAAGCAGCTCCTGGGTCAATGAGCCACATCAAAATTGGTTTTCCAATCACCATAGCAGCAGACATAATAGTGATAATACTAAATATGGAAGCAGGGACCCAGAAATCATCACACAGTAGACTAACAAGTAACAGTCAGATTTCGACACCTGCATCGGAAGCTTCTCCTCCCACTCCAAATCATTCAAATTCAATCATTATCCCCAACCCCTGAACATTCAATTGACAGATTTGACAGAGCTTTACCGCATTCGAACCCCTTAAGGCCTACAAAATTCACATCCCACCCAACATACTGCATTCAACTGTAAGGCAAAAGCAAGAAGCTTTACAGTAGAAGAATCATACCAACTCCCACCCAACACGAAGAAATCAGAAATCAAAGAGGCACGAGTTTGAACTAACTTGTAAACCGGATCGGCATCGCCATCGCTGGCGCCCAGTCCACGAACCAAGCAGAAGAACGCAACGAAGACGAGGACCCAGCGGCTCCAATCCATTGGACTCGCGAGAAAAAGTCAACTCAGCTGAACTCGTCGAGAATCAGCGGGAAGCAGCGAGGTTCAGTGATTCCATACAACCGCGCAGAAATGTGAGAACACAACAGCTATGAAGTAAAGTCGGAAACCCGAAAAATCCCTCCTCCGGAACAGGCAGCAGACGCCGCCAGCGAATTGGGTTTTCGGAGAGAAGCTGATGGATTGCGAGGGAAGGGAAGTAAAATCTTTTTTGTGTGGATTTCGATGGGATTCGCGAAGAAGTAGGGGCGAGAGAAGAGGAACAAAAAAAAAAGAGAAGAAAATCAAAGAGAGACCAGAATCTCGTGACTAGGCTGATCCTCGGGGCAACTCACGAGGTAAACACGTCGATCCTCCTCGGCTCCTCGCTTCACCCAATGTCCGTTTTACCTAACTGCCCCCTCCAAACGACGGCGTTTGATCATTGTCGTCCCTGAAGCAAGGCCTCTTCTTTTTTCCTCTTTACCCTGTCTACACGGTTGTTACCTAGCGGAGCACAGCAGCGCCAAATTCCATGGTTTCGTCAGCCTCCACCTCGCTGTTGCTGCTTCACCAATCACCATCCCACTCCCACGCGCTTGCTGCATCCGATCTCCCACGCGCGCGCCACGAATGGCCTCTGTGACAGGCGGCTCTCTCTCCCTCGCCGACTCCATTTCCCGCCAATTCTACTGTCCGATGCTCCGCGGCGGAGACGAGGGGCGCGGCTACGATCCCTTTTGCCAACGTTACCGGATCGGCGTCCGACCCTATAGTGAGCGAGCCCGAACGGAAGTCCGACTTGTCGGATGCCGGCGGCGACGAGGAGGAGTGTCGTCGTCGAAGAAACTGGTAACGTGGGGGCTTCTGTGGAGTCTGCTGCTTAGGCATAAATTGAGAATTGGAATTTCAGTTCTCTCGCTTGTTGGCTGCACTAGTTGCACACTCTCCATGCCCATTTTCTCAGGTAATGATTCGTTGATAATGAGATTTTCTGTTGTTTTGTTTTGGTTGCTGAGAAAGTTAGAGCGGTGATTGCATTTGTGATCGGTCATCTTTTGTTTCGTCAAATCTGTAGGGCGATTCTTTGAAGTGCTTGTTGGTGTAAGGCAGGAGCCTCTGTGGAGCCTGCTGGCTAAAGTTGGAATTGCATACGCCATGGAACCAATTTTCACTGTCCTGTATGTTGTTAACATGAACGTTGTGTGGGAGAGTGTAATGTCGACGCTTAGAGCTCAGATTTTCAGGAGAGTTCTGATTCAGAAGGTCGGAACTTGAATCACCATGGTCACCAAGATTTTGTAAAATTTTGAAACTTGATCTTGAGCCATTCATAGTTTGTACTCATGGATTTTCTTTAACCTTTTTGTGTAAACCCAGGTGGAGTTTTTTGATCGGTACAAGGTATGTATCCCTGAACTGCTAACATTCGTAATTTGGTTGAGGTTCTTTTGTCTTCCGCCATGTTTTGGGGTTTTAATGCCAAGAGATTCTCGTTTTGGCATTGTTGTGCAGGTTGGTGAAATCAGTGCATTATTGACAAATGATTTGGGATCTCTTAAAGATGTTGTAAGTGAGAATGTTTCAAGGGATCGTGGGTTTAGGGCGCTTTCTGAGGCAAGCTACTCTATCCAAACCTGAGTGAGCTCAATTTCATATGTTCTGTTCTGTAGGTAGTTTTTGACTCTGATGAACTCTGCATCCTTCTATGTGTCTGTTCTAAGTACATGTTGATCAGAGAAAAACGCTGTTCTCTCTTACCATCTATGAGATTCTGATTCCCATGGATTATGCTCCTTCCTTACTTGCTAATATTTATCTATTTTCTCCCTCCTATTCTATGTCTGTAGATCATTGGGACAGTTTCCATCTTATTCACCTTGGCTCCCCAGCTGGCTCCAATATTGGGCGCCCTGATGCTTTCAATTTCTGTTTTAGTTGGTAAATCCCCCTTACATCTATGTGCTCATTGGAAGGTTTAAATGTTTACGTAAATCTCAGCATGGTACTGGTGATAGTTTGGCATACTTCATTGAAACCTACATGTGTAGTGAGAAGGGGTAGAAGTTTTGTGCTCCTCTAGTCTTGTTGGTTCCTCTAGTATCCCTATGCAAAATACTGTTGCTTATTTCATTCTTTATTCTTTTTTCCCCATTGCTGATTGGTGTCGTTGATTTGAAGCTGTGTACAAGCGATCCACTGTTCCAGTTTTCAGAGCTCATGGAATGGCCCAAGCGTCAATGTCTGATTGTGTATCAGAAACTTTTTCTGCTATTCGTACTGTAAGAGCTCAACATGCTCTGCTACTTCGCTAACTATTGATCTGCTGCAGTTCATGATATATTGGTTCCGAAAGAGCATCAATAATACTTCATCAATATATTTCCTTTCCCTTACTCTTTCATCTGTTGATGTAATCAATTAGAAGATATGTGTCTGTGTTAAGTTTCTATTACTTTTGGTTTTGCAGGTAAGATCTTTTAGTGGTGAACATCGCCAAATGTCAATGTTTGGTAACCAGGTAAGATGGGTGCTTAGACATCTGATGTTGTGGACATCATATCACTATGAAACTGTTGCAATTTTGTCTTTCATTAATCACAAGGAATATGGCAGGTTCTTGCTTACCGACGTAGTGGGATCAGGCTTGGGATGTTTAAATCACTAAACGAATCAGTGACAAGAGTCGCTGTTTACATCTCTCTGATTGCTTTATATTGTCTTGGAGGAAGTAAAGTGAAGGCTGTAAGTGTTCTACATTCTTCCACCTTTTCCTTGCACTTCAAAACCTCGTGGCTGATTGTTTATACATATTTTTGGCAGGGTGAAATTTCTGTTGGGACTTTTGCTTCTTTTATTGGATACACTTTCACACTGACATTCGCTGTGAGTCCTTCTATTCTGATTTGTTGATATCGGACTTTATGATTTCCTTCATTATTAAACACTCTTTCGTATGTTAACTCTAGGTTCAAGGCCTGGTCAATACATCTGGGGATCTTCGTGCAAGTCTTGCTGCCGTTGAAAGAATAAATTCCGTGCTCTCTGGAGTAGAGGTAGATGAAACCCTTGCCTATGGTCTAGAAAAGGAAATCCAGGAAAAGGAACATCATGACGAGGCAATAAAATTGTTCTCGGATGATGATCATAGCGGGAAGAACTCCCGGACCGTGCATTACATGTCAGCTTTAAAATCAGCTAACAATCTATCTACTCTTGCTTGGTCTGCTGACATTTGTCTCGAAGGTACCTTTTTTATTGTTATCAATGTATAAATTCCATGTTTTGACTGAAGGTTCTTACTATCTTGTAACCGGGGATTATTGCAGATGTGCATTTCTCCTATCCCTTGAGACCTGATGTAGAAATTTTAAGTGGCCTCGATTTGACCCTGAAGTGTGGAACCGTGACTGCTCTAGTTGGGCCAAGCGGTGCAGGCAAAAGCACTATAGTACAGCTACTATCACGATTCTATGAGGTACGGTTTCTTCTCCCTGCTATTGCTCTTTGTATAGATGATACGTTTTCTGTCACTCTATCACTGAATTATTTTCATCAACATCTTTTTTTGCAGCCAACCAAAGGTCGAATAACACTCTCTGGGGAAGATATCAGGACATTTGAAAAGACAGAGTGGGCTCGTGTGGTCTCCATAGTAAACCAAGTAATGCATTTTGATCAGTTCAGTGAAAGCTGGGAAACAGTTAAATCGAAGAGGGACGATCTAGAATGCTAATGTTAAGTTACCAATACTAAAAGCATTTGCTCATGTATACAGGAACCAGTTCTTTTTTCGGTTTCAGTTGGAGAGAACATTGCATATGGGCTTCCTGATGAAAATGTGTCCAAAGATGACATCATAAAGGCTGCCAAAGCTGCAAATGCACACGAGTTCATAGTTTCACTGCCACAGGTTAGATATTATCGTTCTGAAATCTGTTTTTTTGTTTCATGTCTGTATACCTTTTCTTTCTTTTTCCTAAGACTTCATTTGCATGTCAAAAGGGTTACGACACTCTAGTTGGTGAGCGCGGAGGCTTGCTGAGTGGAGGGCAGAGGCAGGTATGTAAACACAACTTATCAATCTCAAGCAATAGAAGCTCGAGTTTAATGGATTGGTTTAAACTGCATATTTTTTAACTGGTTCTCAATTGTCTAGAGGATTGCTATTGCGAGAGCGCTGCTCAAGAATGCCCCAATCCTTATCCTTGATGAGGTAACCAATGGCTGTTTATAAGCTTCATCATTTGTGTGCACTCCTCATAAGTGACTAGAAAACTATTTTTGTGCAGGCAACCAGTGCACTAGATGCAGTTAGCGAACGGCTAGTCCAGGGAGCACTCAATCATCTGATGAAAGGGAGGACGACAATGGTAATTGCTCACAGATTAAGTACAGTTCAGAATGCGCATCAGATTGCAGTTGTTACTGATGGAAGGATTGCAGAACTCGGAACCCATTTACAGTTGCTGGCCGAAAAGGGTAAATATGATACACTAGTCGGCACTCAAAGACTGGCTTTTGAATGACTCAACCATCCTTTTTAGCCTTTTTTTCAATTTCCATAGAATAATAGGACCACAGCCTCGTGTAAATCAACAATGATGAGTTTTGAATATACAAAAGTTTTCTCCTCGATACTCTTGCTGTCTTGCTTGTGGTAGTTTGGTAACTGAGGATTGTTCCTAGTGACTCTCCAGAATACATAGTTTCTTCCTATTCGGAAATTGAAATTACCGCATTGAGTATGGCCAGACATTCAGTTGGGAGACTGAGAAAAGTGTTCATGAAAACATCATCAATTGGATCAACTGAAGCCACCCCAACCAATCTGCATTTCCCTACTTTATCCAACCTCTCCCCTACTCCATTGCGGATGCTTCCTCTCGATTCCTCTGAAGTTAGCACCGTCTTCACCAGCAGCGGAGGAGCTCTGTAGAAACTCCCAGCAGAGAACCAGAAATTGGCAACAAATTCAAGTTCCACCTTACCTGAATCTGGAGCAATCCTGCCCTGAAATGATTCAGGGACTATATCAATCTTCAGGCCCGGCGGCAATGGCAACCCCAAAATCCTGGTGGTCTCGCTCGTCAGTGGTGGAATGTACAGATTCTGCAGGTCGAATGATACTGAAATATGGTCACCATCTTTAGTCCCAATCCCAGTTCCTGTGCCACCTTTGGCATTGTAGTCGAAATCGGGATACCTGGAGATGCCAAGCTTGCAAGCTTCCAGAGTTTTGAAGCTGATACTGTAAGCATCGGAATTCGGAAGCTTGGTTGTGCGGGTGGATGCTTGCTGTTTTGGGCTTGAAGAAGCAAAAGAGGAGACTGCTGTAATTCTGAAACTGGGTCTTAAAGTGGAGGACTTGAACACCATTGGAGGGTTTAAAGCGTTGATCTTACAACCCATCTGTCAGTTTTTTTTCCGAGTGCTGAAGGTAAAAACTGGAAATGGAGGAGGGTATTGGAGTTCTTGGTGGATGACATGATGATGATATGAGTGGATTAGATAAGAGACAAAAATTGGTGGCTACCATTGAACTGCGATCTTCGAGTCCCATAAAGAATTGTGACATGGGCGTTGCGTAGAGCTGATGTCACATTTGAACATGCTGCTGTCGAATATTCAATCTATCTAGTGGTTTGACTTGGTAGGAATTGAATACCATCTTCTATTATAGACTTTAATCTTGCACAATGAGAGTTCTCAAGTCATTCAAGGAATCTCTCCTGAATTTGTCAAGTCTTCACCAAAACAAATAACAAAGTCAAAATAGCTTGCAACTGTTCAAGTTGGCTAATGGATTGCCCTTTCACATGCGCAATAATGCCAATCTGGCACCTACTTTTCTTTGCCATGGCTATAGCTGGGGGAGTTAGGTTGGTCATGTTATTCAGTTGCCAAAATGGTAGGGGCCAAAGGAGAAAGAAAGAAACTTTACAGGGAACCCATTCCAGGGAGGGGATACCCTCTTTTCTTTTAGCAAAAATGGAATCCAACTAGTTCTAGCTTTCATTCTTTAGTCCTTGCCCCACAAAGCAAATAGACAACAATTCCTCCCAACATCTCCATTTCCCCCGACCTCCTGGGCTATATCCCAATTCCATTTGACCCTGGCTGTTCCCTGCCCTTTGAAGAAAGGGTATAGCAATTTAAGGGTCAGTGGACCACACAACTAGCCGTTTGAAAGAAAAGGTTTGGAAATCCACAAAAGAAGATGCTCCTCTAGCCTTGATAGTAACACACAACTCCATTCCAACAAAAAGATGCAGAATCTATACACAAGGCCAAACCATGAAACACCTCCACTCACCCTTACCCTAAACTCAACTGAACATGAACTTCCATGGGACAAACATTATTTGGCACACCACCCTGAACTAGGAGGGCTTCTCATGGCTGCAACATAACCTCGCCCAGGCAAGAAATGCATGACACATAACACTCTCTCAGACTCCCCGCTATGAAAGATGATACATTAGATGCTACAATTCTCACGGATGCTTACATAAGTTTTTTTGCGGAGGCGAGCACTCCATATGTGGGTTTTTAGTACTGTCAGCAGGCGTCAGCGCAGCTACTCGCTTTCAGCACACGAGGGACGACCTGAGAGATGATGCAGTAGGAAGATTCGTGCAGGATGCCCAGCGGATCACCGATTCGGTTACCATTAGATCAAGCTGCTCACGCTCCCCAAGACCAATAGTCCGGTACCTCTTGCTGTGCATTCCCAGCACCCTCGGCCCAATTGTCCCCCCTGCACGCTTAAACTCGGACGATATCCTGTGCTGTTCTGAAGCTCCTCCAGCTTCAAATAAAGAAGAAGACTCGGTCTGTGCAAGCACTGCATCTCCTCTGCAACTGTTGCTTCCTTGGTGTTTGATCGTGGGGTCGGGACTGAAGAATGCAAAGCTTGGCATCGAGGACATAGGTGAAGCAAACTCCAAAGGTGCAGACTCACCATCGCTTCGAAATGAAAATCCACCTGATAGAATGCAAGGTGTAGATGGTTGTGCTACCATAGAAGAGAACGATGACCTACTCATTGAAGTCGGTGACTGAACCTCCTCACATATAATATGTGATCCTGTGCCAAAGCTGATGTCCTGATTCCTCGTTATCATCCTCGAGAATGAAGTGCAACCCAAACTCAACTCTCCACAACTTTCTTTCGCGTGCTGACATGTATCTTCGAGGCTCGGTCTTTGGTCATTCATCCACGGGTGATCTACCAAAATAAAGAACTGTGTGATCAAATACTCAGCTCAAGACTCACAAAACATTCAAATTTCAGCAGAAACACATGACCATTATAACCGCACCTAACACCTGCTGACCAGTCAGTCTCTGCACGGGATCCACGCACAACATCCCCTTAACTAATTCTCTCGCCGATTTGGCAACTCTATCCCAAGGATTAGAAGGGAACCGAAGATCTGCCGCCCTAACAGCGTGAAAAATCTGTGACTTAGTCTTGCCCCAGAAAGGGGGCATCCCACTGAGAAGAATGTAGAGGATAACCCCGGCACTCCATATATCAGCACTCTGATTATATCCTCCTGAGAGCACCTCTGGAGCTATGTAAAATGGGCTTCCAACTGTTCCTTTCAGATTCTGACCTGATTGAACCATCAAAGAAGCAAAAAGCTTCAGAGAAACAGTAATTTTAAACGAAAAAAAACAGTTGAATGCAACAACTTTGGGGGGGAAAGGAAGTATACCAGGCTGGACATATGTTGCAAGACCGAAATCAGCCAGTTTAATCTGTGAAGAAGAGGAATTTGTTGCCAAGAGGATGTTCTCTGGTTTCAGATCTCTATGAACAACTCCAATTTCATGGCAATGCAATACCACTTGCATTAGATCTCGGAAAAGAACTTTAGCTTCGGACTCACAGAACCGTCCATGCTTCTCTAACAGATGAAAAAGCTCCCCACCAACACAAAGTTCCATCACCAAGTGGATGTAATCTTCATCTTCATAAACTGCCTTGAGATGAACAACATTTGGATGACCAGATAACTTGGTCATTATCTCGATCTCAAGCTTGACACTTCTCGTGTCATCTGATGTCACCAATCTATCCTTGGCGATTGATTTGCAGGCGAACAGCTCCCCTGTAGACTTCTCTGTGCAGACTCTAATGACACCAAATTGTCCCCAGCCCAATTGCTCCCCAAGAACGTACTTTTCTGTCAAGCTTGAGGTCTGCTCCGTCTCCAAAATGGGTTCAGATAAGTTTGAAACAATGTAGCAATTGCAGGGTTGCTTGGATGGCTCAGCGTTGAAGAAGTTGAAGGTGTTGCCTTCAGCAACAGCCATTCCAAAACCCCACCAAGAGATGCCAATTATGAATCCCTCTCAAAACTCACCAAAATTTCCGGGGCTTAATTTCCAGCTCGGGTCTCAGTATTATAACAACCGAGACCAGCTAGAATTCTGGAACTTGAAAAGTCAAAAGTCCCGAACTTTGCTGTCAAAGCCCTAGAAATATGCTCTTCTTTGTCCACGAAGGTCGGATGTGATGATGACGACGCCTGCCGTAAACAGGCAGGGATACAATAACCAGGAAAGTGGGGAAAAGCGGAAACCCCCTCCAACCAGTGTCGAAAGCTTCACACTTGAGGATAAATCAGCTGGATCTGCAGAGATTACATCATAACGAAGCCAAATCAGAACCGAAGAAAGCGCCAAAAGTTTTCGTTTTCTACAGTCAGAACAAAAAACAGGCTTAGTACTACTCGAGACTCAACACGTTTTCTCATTCAAAACACTTCCCCCTTTCAATATTACTCCGAAGGAGCAAGCTTTCAAGTTCAAATAAGCGAAGAAACTAAGAGACATAGAGAAACAGACGAGAATCGGCATCAGAAACCCCATCAGCTGAAAACTTCCCAAAAGAGAGGAAGTAAATTTGCCAAAATTGAGAACCCAACCCATCAAATTCTAGCCACCCATGAAGCAACCCAGAGATGATAGGTACATTAAAAGCAACCCATTGTTATAGAGAGAGAGAGTGGGAAGGAGGGAAAGGGACCTGTGGGTAGAAGTGAACAGAGATTCAGAATGAGGGAAACAGAGGAATGGCGGTGAAAGGAATTGAGCAGCCAGAGAGAGAGAGAGAGAGAGAGAGAGCCAGGCGGAGAAGAGAAGGCAGGGGGTGGCCTCGCCTGCCTGCGTCTCTCTGTCGCTGAGCTGTGGGTGGGATTCTCTGATTCTCTCTCTCTCTTTCCTTATAATCTGTTGGCTTGTTCCTCTGTTTCCGAGTTGGGGGAGAAGGGAAAACTCGGAAAAGAAGCCCCGAGTTCCGTTGTGTTGTTATTTTAACTTATTATATTCGGACGGAGTTGTCTGGCTGTCGTTTTCTATTTTATTAAATAATTATTTTGTTTTCCATTTTTGGGGTTTCTGGTTTGAAATGGGGAGTGGAGGAGGAGGAGGAGGAGGAGGGAGGAGGTTGGGGGAAGCAAGTGCAAGTTTGGGGCTTGCTCTGTATTCTGTAATAATTGCTTCCTTCAACTTCGGACGTGAAAGCCCACTTGGATTCTGTTCAATTACTTTTGGCCAAGCTTGCTTGCTTTGCTTTGGTGCCCCCACTTGATCAACCCCTCTTTTCTAGCCTGGATCCACTCTTTACATTGCTCAATTTGTGTTTCAATTGCAATTTTACTCTTCTCGAGACAATTTGGACATTCTCCAATGTCAAATTGCCCTATTCTGATTAGACCACTGAAATATTCGTGGTCTGAATTGAATATTTGTCAAATATGATATTTGGAATCAATTATCACGTGAAAACTAAGGATGGCAACAAAACTCGAACTCACGGGTACTATACTCGATCCAATTCGGTCAACGCGGGTAAAATTAAAATTGACGGGTTTCGGGCCGGGTTTGGATTTCAACTCACACACTATTCACTGGGTTGGGTTGGATTTGGGTTTAGGGGTACCCGGCCCATAGATACCCGCCCACACTTATTTCGTCGCACTACTCTCCCCAAACCCTACCCTAATTCTAATTTCCTCCAATCTAACTCTCGCTACACTTATTTCGTCTGATTTTATTAAGGGGTCGTTTGGATTCATATTTCTGGATAGGGATTTGGGCCAAAACCCGACCCGTCCCGGATTTTAACAAATTATGTTGTTTGGCTCTGTGCCCAATAACGCGAGATTTGGTTCATGCGGGTTTTGGAAATCCGGTCCATCCCGGAATTGGAAATAACTGGCCTCCCCCAGGTATTTTGAAATCCGATCCAACTTTTATTGTATGTCGATCGTGTCCTTGACTATTCTCTGCCAACTCTCGATCTACCTTGCCCTTCTCTTATTCCCACCCTTCCCTGCGCTCCTCCTTCTCTTCCGTCTTTTATTCTTCGGCCTCATCAACCTTGCCGGACTCGGTGACTCGCTCCTACCGTCACTCTAGAAAATGGCCAAGTGTAACCACCTTTTAAAGCGTAGTATAGCGGGTTTGGGTTTTAATGTCAACCCGGGTCCTAAGTGTGATGACTACTCCATGAGTTCTTATTATTTAGCGGTGAAACTTTAGTGAAGGTCCAAACAAGCAAACAAGCAAAGCAAGTAAAAAGAGTGTTTTCAAGTCGAGAGAGGTCACCCGGATATGGTTCCCCCTAGACTGCAGTTAAGCCGGATTGTAATTTACCAAGTTCGATTCCAATGATAGTTATACTGCGGGAGGTTCTTAAACAGTCTGCATTCTCGACTAAAGGTCTCCAGACCCTCTCAATCTGAGTCCCCATCGGGCGACTAACCTCCACCGGAGTAAACATATTGAGGCCCTAACGAACCAAACCTCCACTACCGAAGTAAATTCGGTACAGAATAGTGAATTGACTCCTCGACTAAAGTCGTCAATTCACTACCTTCAATCAAGGATTCTCTATCAACCTAGGCAAGTATTCTCATTCTAGGTCAAAGCAGAAATAACAGGAATTTGATCAGGATTCATGCCATACAACAATTCAAACCTCAATTGAATATAATCAAATCATAGAATCTGTACTTGGGTTCATACAATCAGACCTAACATACAAATCTAGGGTTCTTCATACCCAGGTGAATAGGAAAGTTACTCCATAGAGAGAGATGGGAAATCTAGCTCAGATGCGGAAATCATACTGTGAAGGATGATAATCTGCTTCTGGCACTCAATCAGATCTTCTCCAAGCTCAAGCCGGGCTCCAATGGTGATGGAGATCGATCAAGGACACTTGCAGAATCAGGTTCGTCACTTTCTCTCTCTAGGTAGCGCTTTTTCTCTCTAAAACTCGGAACCCCTCAATTTTGCCCTTCTTTTCCCTCAAGAAGTTGTCTGTCGCGATCCCCGGTCTGCATACCCAGTCGGGTATTTTGGGTGGCGCTCGGATATATTCAAAACGCGTCGTGTGAGACAGGGGAAAATTCCCGGTCAAGGCCAGGAATCCCCGACCGGGGATTTAAGCTTCACGACCGGGGCCTCCTCTGCTTCTCAACGTCCAAAATGCCAATTCCCCGGTCTGATCCAAATAATACCCGGCCGGGTATTTCTGCTCATGGCCTGGTATTTTGCTCCTCCAACACACTTCGACCCAAACGTGCTCCTTTCGACCAGAAACTCGTTTCTTCGCCTCGATTCCAACGTCAAGCCCTGAAATATGACATAAACGCACAACCTCACGTGAAATTGGCTTAAAAAACGAGAATCAACATCTCAAACGACTCAATAATAGGGGTAAAAACATGTGTAATCGATGGTCTATCACTCGGCCTTGCCAAAGTTTCTTCCGTCATCAACAAATCTGGAAAGAAATGAGGTTTTCGTTAGAGAACGCTCGGATCTGTAAAGAAACAAGCGGTGAGCGGGTGGGAGCTCAAATTTAATGTTTGGTTGTTCTCATTCGTCGATTTGATTTTGGGTTCTAATTCGTCGACTTGGGATTGAAGGGTTCAAGGATTGGATTTCTTCCTCGTCGCACTTGGTTGCTCTGTGTCTCGAAGGTCATGGGATTTAGTTCCATCAGGCAGCAAGAGCTTCTCGAATGGTTATGCTTTGAAATCCGCCGAACAATCGCATCAACTTCAAGGAACCAATCGTTGGCAAAGCTCGACGACCCTAGCCCTGTTTGGGATGCTGGTTACCGTCGTTGATTACATGGTCTGCGATTTCGACAAAGGGAGGAAGAAGACGAGTACGACATAGAAGGGGTTAGGGATTATGTTGGGTCTGTGAGTAAAATAAGGAAAAGGACAAAACTTTAATTTTATATTTGTAACTAAAACTTAAATTCTTTGATGACAATTCTGGACAGTTAAACAAACAAGTATTTTATTTAAATCCTCATGGTTTTAAATTGAGGAATTTAGATTCAAATCCTTCAATATTCCAATCCCTTATCGACCTCTTAGTGTAATTGTGATATATTTGAATTTTCTAGAATGGTGTTTTATGTATGGATAATTTGTATGGGGAAATTGATGTTTGAATTTTATTTTTATATGAACTTGTTATTGTAAATTTTTTACCACAAAAACTCATGGGTGCCTATGAACCCGCAGATACCCAACAGGTTGTGTTGGGTTTGAGTTTTTCAAACCCAGTGGGTTTTACGCCAGTTTTATTTATGGATAAACTCGTCTGTTTGGGTTTGGCAAAACCCGACCCATTGCCATCCCTAGTGAAAGCCCACTAAGAAGACCAAGATGGTCCTGAACCAGAATCAGTGGTCGGAGCTTCAATCTCCTGATAGATTCAGAACCCCTCAAGGCCTCAACGAGTTCTGCCGCATGCAAAGCCCATACTCGGAGCGTCTTCCTCACTAATTTCTTCTTCTCCAACGCCGATCTTCCCCTGCCTCCGTCATTGGTTTATTCCAGCATGTGCGCCGCATGCATGTGGTTGTCTGCGTTGCAATTGAAGAGAAGGGAATAGAAGAGCTACGTCGCTTATGCTAGCGTTGGCATGGCGAAAACGAGTTCCTCTTTTCTTCCTTGTCGTGTTTTGTCTCTATTCTTCCTTCCTTAGGGTTAGCCAGTAAGGAGCGTTTCAAGAGTGTGTTTGGGTGGGCTTCGGCCTGTGAGGGTTGAGGGAGTGTGTTCGGGTGGGCTATGATGGTAGAGGGAGAGAAGTTTGGGCCAAGTGAGTGGGCTTTAACAATAATATGTGGGCTAGTTTTAGATGTTCGGTTTTTCATGTCCAATTTCGGAAACTCGATTCGGTCGACAAAACCCTGGTTTCTGAACTAAGCACATTTCCTTTCCGAATTTCGAATCGAACAACTTTTCTTCGATTTTGGTTTGGTCCTGGTTGGTTTTGGCGCAATTCGAATTTTACCGAACCGAATACCCACCCCTAGAGTGAAGTTGAAAGTAATAATGTGTCATGTTTTCAATTGCACCACCGTTGCAGGTCGCTCAAGCTAGTCTCGATCATCTACTTATCGACCCCCTAGTCAATACCGACAAAATTGAGTAGAAAAAATCTCGATGGATTTGGGAAGACGAACCACACCAACTATTTAACAGTTGAACATCAAAATCGATAGACACATAAGACATATTTAACAGAATTAGACGACCAGTATAGTACCTAAAGATGAAATAAGATATAAGATTTTTTTTTTTGAAAAAAGATAATCATATTGATTTTATAATAGAGACAGTTACATCCTGGAGTTCATCCAGGTCTGAAAATCAAAGAACCGACTCGTAGTTGGGTACAAAGAAAGGGCCTTTCGAGCCACCATATGGGCTACCTTATTGTTACTCCGACCTACAAATCTAACAGAAAACCCAGAATGAGCAGCAAAATAACGAATGACTTCTTCAATAACAGCCCCATCCGGTTATCCCTGGATCTGCCTGATTAATTTTATCAATGACCACAAAATTGCCTCCCTGAGCGTGAGTAATTCCACCACTACGGGATCATCAATCAACGGGAACTAGGTTCCCTTAACAAAAAGAACATCCCTAGTCGGTCTCGGGATCACTATCCCGCAGACCGAATGCAACCCACTTTTAGTAGCCCCATTCCACATACACGCAACCGAATCATCCGCAACTGGAAGCTGGTGCTGGGACACTGGGAAGGAGGACCGGGGGGATGGCTCCATCGACAGGTGAACCCACTCCTCATACTTTTGATGGAATTGATGCATCAGGGCTGGTAGCCCAAACTGTTTACCCTCGAAGGCAACCCAATTCCGAGATCGCCAAATCCTCCAAAGGATGGCAACAACTGCCATGAAAAGAGGAGGTTGACTTAATAGAGGCACCTTCTTCTTGAGAAAAAGAGGGAATGTATGTCGCGGCAATCCTTGACCTAGATACTCCAGGCTCGAATAATCCCAAAGAGCTCGCGC